GTAAGCTGTATAAAATGTATAGAGGACAGGACCTAGGATACTACCTTGAGGATCTTTATTTTTAAGGTAAATTTTAGTAAGGAACATTAAGTTTGTCACTGATAAATACACATCAATTCCTCCAACACACATCAATCTGGGGGAAAAACACAGTTACAATACCATTTTATTTGAAGAAGGAAAAAATATTTGAAAAAGGATTATTTTTAAATAAAATGTGTTTTAGGTAATTATATTCATTACAATGCATCTCATATAACGGAAAAGGAGAAATAAAAGCTTTGAAAACTGTAAAATTTTGTCATGTTTGATGAAAACAACGGTAATTTAAGGTGACTGGATAGAAATCTCATTATTTCTTTTCACAATTTGAAGTGAATTAACCTCAACTTAGTTAATACGGACTTAAAGTTTTTTAAACGAGGAAGTTTTTTAAAAGCGAAGTAAATGTAGTACAGTTAAAGGAGATGAAGTTAAAGGGAGATAAAATAAATCACAAATAATTTATGAATTATTTTAAAATGGAACTTAGCTGTATTTGTCCGTCCGACAAACTCTACTTTTTTTAAAATCAAATTTTACCTGTTTTACTATGGAACAATGTTTTATTGGTTAAATCAAATATTTTTTTTAGTTATCACTACCTATCGAAAAACACGTAACCCTTAAAAAACACATATGTTAAATTTCCTACTTTTTTGTAGATCTTGATGTCTGCTATCAACCTTTTAAATATTTCCTCTACTTACGGGACACCCTGTAAATCTCTCTAAGCATATATATATATATATATATATATATATATATATATGCTTAGAGAGATTTGAAAGCGCATATGAATATTCAACCGATAAATTATTATGGATCGTACGACTATCAGTTATTAAACTGATATTTTTCAATGTAAAGTTGACCTAGCGTGCTGATTACATATCGCCACATCATGTCAGATGGCTTTTGTATATCTACGAAGACAGAACACAGTTTTCAAGCACCATTATTTGTAGTGTTGCTCAAATGCGAGATCGAGACGAGTATTGGTCATGGTCTTGGTCTTGCGCAAGATTCTAGCAACAGTCTTGCAGTTACTTATCAGCGTATTACTATAGAGATATTACTGCAATTTTTTAGATAGGAGAAACCTAACTAAGCCCGAATGAAAAATTAGAGTAGTTAAATGCAAAATTATATTGGTTATACCAATTATTTACATATAGTAACTAAGATTGTCAAGCATTAGTAACTATTTTTCCTTAATTTTTATTCAAAAAATCGATTTTTTTCGCCAGTCCTGGTCTTGATCTTGCAACAGTTAAGCGGCCTTGGCCTTGGTCTTGTACTTTGCAAGACCAAGACCGATTTTGGGCAACACTAATTATTTGGTCGATGGCCAATCGGTTTTTTCTAACGCAACATTGAGAAGTTGGGAAAAAGTTTTTTTAATCCATATAATTTAGCAATCTATTGTTTACCATTTTTCAAGAAGTTTGGAAACACATGAAAGTAGGGATATAGGCCAGTTTAGTTTGTAAATCTTTTTGATTTTTCATATTCGTTATAACTATTGCATTGATCAATGTTTCGGGAAAGAAACATGTCCAAATTCTATTATAGATGGAAAGAAGAAATAATTGAGCATTTAAAGGTATTTAAAAAAAAGAGCATTTTTAATTTCTGATAGGCTAAATGGATGATTATAGGGAAACAACTTTTTTTCTCCATTTCGGTGTCCTATTCTTTTTTTTCGTTTCTCTTTATTTTCCAACTACGTTTCTAATTTTTTTCCAGTCGGTTCTTTTGAACGACCACCTACGTATTTAATTACATTTGTGGTTATTATTATCATTGAATGTTATGGTGATCGGGAAATGGTAGCTTATACATATAAAGTCTCTTTTACACTCTAGTGTGTGGACAATTTTAGCACCAACGAAGGATAAATCAATCACAGAAAGCCTGGGGCGGATCTACGGGGGGGATGGGAGAGGCTTTCGGTCTGAAGCCACCCTTCCCCCAAAATGGTAAAATATAAATATGTCTTATGAAGAAAAATGTAATAATTACCCCTAAAAGTATTATTATTTGTGTAATTACATTCAATAGTACTCAAAGAATCACTTAAACTCTATTTCATGTAGGTAGTGAGTTCCTTTCTTTTTCATGTTAAGTAATTATAGTTAAATATTTTTTAAAAAACTTTCGGACTGAAGCCTCCCCCTCCAAAAAATTAAATCCTGAATCCCCTAGTGCAGAAAGTGAACATTTGTGCAGTAATAAGTTAGAGATCCATTAATCAGAATTAAATACTAATCCCTTTTTTTTTGTTTATTATTTTTATATTCGGACAGCGGGGAACCCCACAATGTGTTGTACCCATTCAGGTCTCCTATGAACATTACAGGTATGGGGAGTTGGTCTTAGCTATAAGATCTTTGGCAGTGAAATCTCTATTTGAAGGAATATAAATATTACAAACTGATATAAGTTGAATATAGTAAATTTCATGTTTAGACATTATGTTTAATTCTTATGAGTCTATTTTTTGTTAATCATTCTTTCTACTTCTCGAAGTGGACTTACCATCAGATCTGTCTTTTCGATGGATGCAGTTTTTTAAGTTTACTGTCTGGGATTTCAAAAATGTGTCTCCCGCAAACAAAATAGGGTTCGGTTATCATAACAATTTAAAATATTCGTAATGTTTATAAAATCCATTGCAATCCCATTGTGTGAATTTTTTATTTTTTTTTTCTATTGAAAATTAATACATTCTTCCAAATTGAATAGCATTAATATTAAGGCTACATTAATCATTCCCATAATATGTACATAAAAAAATAACTAAGATAGAGATAATAAAGAAAAAGAAAATTTAGAAGATTAAAATAAGTAAATTAATATGCCTATGTACCAAAAATGAAATAATACATAGAAATAAGCTAAATAAAATTTAAGTAAATAAAACACATTCTCACTTATATACAATATTTACATTCGCCCAGAGGACTCTGACATGCTTTATTTTCCAAATGTGGAAGCCAAGGCAGGATCCAGGAGATCCCAGTGCTTCTCTCCCAGCCGCATAAATGGTATTGGAAACCAGTGAAGATTGATAAAGAGCATTAGAGCTCTGAGTGAACAGACGCTCAGGACCTGACTGGAGAATCTGGCCATTGCCAGAACTCTAATATATTTATTGTGTGGTTAATGTTTCGGTTTTTTTTTTAAATCATCTAAAAGTATCTTAAAAAATTATATATTTAGTTATATGTTGAACACTTAATTGGACCAATTAATTTTCAGAGCTATCGTCTGTATTGATGGTCATATCTATTGGGCCCCACTGCCTATTATGGAGCTTTAATATATTTATTTTTATTGAGCGCCGATTCGTTAAATGGTTTCTAGTGTCTCCTAACATTCCTTGCTAGGCCTTTTATATTGTCAGTAAAATCCTGTACTTTATTGAAAATTTTGGCATCAGACAGTGGTTGAAAATCGTTTTTTTTTTTCGGAAAAAAAACCCTGACAATATTGAACTGTAAATCACAGATAAATAGTGTTGATACCATCATAATCACAACTACATTTTCTATAAAATATTTATAGAACCAGTCTATGGATTGACTGGGGATAAAAGAGATGAATCAATTTTTATTTCTCTCAGAATAAGGTAGCTTCAGCTAGCTAAATTATTGAAACAAATAAATAATTGTTTTTATTATTTTATCATGTCATGTTAACTTATATTAAGAGAATTAATAGAGTAGCAAACTAATAAGGGAAAATTAACAGGATAACAGATAGTGAAAATCATGCTATAGTGTGAAAGAAGAGGGATTAGGTGTTTGTTGAACTTTTATTGTTATTGATGAAAACACTTAGCATCGGTTAAGAAAAAAAAATGAATGGGTCTTGTGAAGACTATTCAATAGCGAACAATCGCATATACACATAAATTAAATCATATATTCAAGAAAAGTTACAGTACTCTAGTCTAATCAAATAAAAAGATAAATTAATTTATGTAACACATAGCAATATACTTAAAATTCTGTACTACTTTATTTTAGGGTCAATAATCTTTTCGTTTCAAATAGACGCTCTTCAAAAATAAACTAATAATAATTGATTTTACAAGATTAAAGTACGTTTAAATTACTGACGCAGGTGGACGCAGCTGGAATCTGATTAAATATTTTTTTTTAAGATTCTAGTTCTTATAAACAAACAGATGTCATACCTCCGGTTGGCTGAGACAAAATGTTCTGGACCAATAAAATATTTTTTTTTCCGATTTACTTAGTACTTTTTCAAAATAATATTGTGGACTTGAAAATACGAATATGTAATTTATTTTTTCACGCAGTGTATAGTTGTTCATGATTTTCAAAAGAAATCGTACCAAATATAAAAAATGTGTGTAAAATTAATAATAATACTGCCGAACAATTTCGGTGGTAATACAAACATTACTCGATGGTAGGATTAGGATGATTAAAAACCGGTATTTTACTGATTGAATAAATAGAATAACTTAGACAATTAATTTATTTTTAAATGACGGAAAGAAAATAATTTTTCCAATACCTTGAAAAAATGGCTTTTTTCCGGCATTTCAACCACTGTGTGCCATTCACATCAATTTTATCATATTGTCGAAGGAAGTACAGTGTTTTCGCTTTTTTTTTTTTCCTTTAATTTTTTTTTTTGCCGTTTTAGTAGCTTCCATCAGTGGAGGCTCTTCGAAAGTATCAGCTTTTAGGCGTCTTCATTGGTATCTAATGTCAGGTTTCGTTGTACAATGCATACTGTGAAAGGTGTAGGGCTAGAACGGCACCGTTTGATGCCAGGAACCAGTGTAGGTGATAATAATACATTATCGCCGTTATCTGCAGCTTTTTCTTTATTACATTTAGTGTCAGTAGTATCGGCTTTGTTGTGATCATTATCGCCATGGTTATCGGGTTGCTGTTTCTAAGTTTCGTGTATTTTGGCTTATGTTGATATGGAAGCGTTGTCATGGTGACAGGTTGGGTAAGCTGTAAGCCCTAAAACTAACGTTAGATAAAGTGTGATTGTGTATGTCTAGTAAGGACGATCGGCAAAGTTTTTTCTCTGTCATGGCTCTTACCCTAGTTAAAATGAATTATTAATAAACATTCATTTCCTTTGTTTTCTAGTTGGAAATATTTTTATCATTATATGCCGTAGTAAGCTTGGACAGTGCTAATGAAGGTCGCAACAATTCTTTATATTTTACTGTTGCAATTTTTATTTATCACTAAATACGTACACTCCTCATTCATATATTCAACTTAATTTAATTAATTTTCAAATTTTCGTTACATTAATAATTAAACATTTATTCATTCTAGCGCTAGATTAATAATCATCGTGCAAAACCGTAACCCACCTCCCTCCTCCCCCCTCCTCAGGCCTTAATGAAATTTTTTAAATATCAAGTAAATATACATGTAAGTAAAAATACCAAATTTCAGCCAATTCTAACGATTAGTTTTATAATTATGGGCTTTTAAAGGAACTGGAAGACATTTTAGGCTCAAAACCAGCCTGTATATATTTGTTAGACATTCATATATAAAACCAATATTTATTGGGAAAGAGCTTTCAAAATTTATTCATTTGTCATAAATTTAATACAAAATCTGCTAAAACCATAAATTTTAGCATTATAATTGTTCTTCGTGTATGCAATAATTCTTAAATATAAATTTTCAAAATAGTGATAAAAATATCTAAAACAATGCGTAGCTAAAATCCCTCTGCAAATACTCCAATATAACCATATATTAATGAAAACAGCATTAAATTCAAAAATAATATTAAAAAATAATATCTGCCAAATTCAAAAATAATATAAGTGGACTATTAAGTTTGAAGAGTTTTCTTACACTTTAAACACATTACAGGAAATCTTAATATACCTGTTACAAACACAAGTGAAAATTGCTTTAATACCTCTCCAAATATCCTAGTATAACTAAATACCACTGAAAAGAGCATGCAATTAGATATCAGATTATGAAATAACATTTGTGGAATTTTGAGATGTAAGAGATTTATTATAATGTAAATCACATAAGTTTTTGAGTGATTCGGAAATGGTGTGCTAATAAATAACGAAAGATACCTACAGATAAAATCTTTCTCCGAACTCTCCAATACAACCGTATAATAGTGGAAAAAGGGTCAAATTCTCTATCGAATGAAAAAATAATATTAATGGGATTTTGAGTTTGAATAGTTATATTAAAATTTAAACCTAAAACATTAAATTTTAATTTATCATTTATATATACAAGTAAAAATTGCTATAATCTCTCTCCTAATACAATCGTATATTGCTTGAAAAAGGATGCAATACTCTTCCAAATGATAATATTAGAGGGGCCCATTATATTTTTTTTTTTAATTCTGCCTATTTCGGTATCAGTATGGTCAACAAAACAATCTTTGTATTTATTGGAGAGAATTTGAGAGTGAATGACTTCTTAAGTGTTTAGATGAAGTCAAAACTATAGAGGACAAAATATATTAAAATTATCAACTGGAGTTATTTTCACCAATAACCCCAAGAAGTGACGATTATTAATAACAATTCTAGTTTATTTCTATAATTCCTTCAGTCTTATGCTAGTCATACCACAACTGGCTCTTGTCAAGTTAACACCATTAGTTTTATACTAGGTACACTAGGCAATGTCTTACACCTTAGAGTGTCTTATTCTTACTTCTACACGGCGTACCATCTGCGGTAACGATAAAACAATAAACTGTTCGGCTATACACTAAAAATACTCGAAGAAATTTGATTGTGAAAAAAATGAGCAACCTATAAGATTAGGAAGCGCAAGGAACCACCCCCCTCCTCCCAAGATATATATTGCTCACCTTACTTAAAAAGAAAGCAAGCCAAGGTAGAATTAGAAAAGGTGTAGATCATGTATAAATATATTTGCTGCGGACGGTTCCATGTGTTACCCTTGTCCATTTGTCCGAAAATTCATAACCCCGTCGAAATCTGCCCCCCGCCCACCCTCAATAATTTAAAAACCTATCCAAATATGCTTCCCTCAAAAATTTTGATGGCGCAACGCATGAAACATTTTTCTGGACCCCTCTGAGAAAACCCACAGAATAAAACAAATTATGTTAACTTGACAAGAGCTGTGGTAAGAATTCTCTAAACACATTTTGACCTCTACCTCAAAACATTTAAGGAGTTATTCCCCAATTTAATACATACATTATTTTGTTGACCAAAGCGACACTGCTGAAAGCTCTTGGTCAGTAAATATTGGTTTTACAAATGAAAATCAAACAGATACATGCTGGTTTTGTGTCTAAAATGTCTTTCCAACTCCAAATATTTCAAAAGTTAAAATGTCTATAATTCTGATACTAATCATTATAATTGGCTAAAATTTGGTATATTTACTTACATGTATATTTACAAATTTTCATTAATATCTTAGGGGGGTGGGTTACGAGCCCTGGATGATTTGGCGTGGAATGACACTAGTGACTTTTTTAGGGGAAACAAAAAACAATTGATTTTTATTAAGAAAAACAAAGTATTTCCTGTAATTTTATTTTATTTATGAATAACCAAATATGTAACATTTGAATATATAATATTATATTATATATTACTTATGAGCTATTTTACGCTGAAGATTCGTCTTTGTCTCGCATTCGGACAACACTAGTTACAAGAAAGGTAATGTTCCTTTTGATACATAATTGTTTGGAAAAATTAAACCATTATGTAATAATTTACGCCGTCATATTTTTTTTAATGTTAAGAATTATAATTTTTCGATTATTCGTCATCAAAAATGATAATAAAAATGTGTTCTTTACCAAAACTTCTATTATAGGAAATTGTACGTGTTTATAAATGATAAAATAATTTTTTTTAGTCATAAAATTTTAGTAAATTATCTTCTGGTTTCTTCAATTATTTTCATGAAAACATTAATAATAGGCTCTGGAATATTTAGTTTGTCACTTGTAAATAAGGATAGAAATAAGTATGTAAGTAAACTAAGGATAGAATCCTGTAATAGAAATCTTCGTAAAAAAAGACATGTTTGTTACCACATTAGATTATGAATAATCAAAAAATCATTATTTTTAACATTTTTTTTATTATACACCCCAGATTATCGAAAAAAATTAAATCTTTAAATTAATTTATTTTAGTGATTTTCGGTGAGAACACGGGTTCTTTTAGTTTAATTTCGTACACAATTTGAAGTGAATATCAAGTTTATGTCTATTAAACTTCAACTTAATTAACATGACTTAAACCTTATTAATTAATAAAAGGTTTTCTAAATGTTGGGTATCTGTAATTTAGTTAATGATAAAATAAAATCACCAATAATTTATTATTTTTTTTAAGAACGGAACTTAACTTAGTTAAATCGCACAAAAGATCTATTTAAATGGTTTTAACAATGCCAAACACTATTTTTATTTTAAGTAAATTTTGACTAGTTTATTGTGATGCAATCGGTAATTACTTAAAGTAGGTATTTTTTTTAGTTATCGCTTCCTATTGACTAGCCCAAAAAAAACACAAAACTTAAATTTTCCAATTTTATGCTAGAAATTGAGAAATTGTTTACAGGAACTTTTCTGTAGCTCTTGCTGTCATGGTTGATTAATCTCTTAAAAATTTCCTTCTACCTACGGGACACCTAGTATGCATATATTTATCGAATATGAATATGATTATAACATACAGTAAAACAGGATATTATTTAAGTAAATTTAAAAAACAATCACTTTCTGGAATAAATACAACATTGACTTAAACCAATATTAAGCAGCTGAAACTAATCTACAAACAAAGTAATGTAATGATTTGTGTAGTTAAAATGTGCTTACTTTTTCGTTTATTATTTCTGTAATTACAAACATTGCCTAATACCTCACTTTTGGTGTGAGTTTCGTCATTCACAGTTGTAGGTGAATAATCCCGACCAAGGGCATCGGTTTTCTACCTTAATCCACATCGATATCAACGGTCTGTGGTTTGCGGTCGGAAAGGGAAAAGGAAGCTTCAAAGGAATGGAAATAGAAGAGGCAATCTGAATCCGTTATTTAACACCATTTATTTTGAGGAACACAGATATTTTAAGCAATAGTAAAACGTTTTGTATGCTTCATAACTCTTTACATTTTTTTTCTCATCAGTTATCTGATATTTTAATTTTTATTGAATATCCTGCCATTATTGAAACTTGAGGAAAAAATATATGTTATAAATTCATCGAAGTTTGAAACTAGGTGAAATGTGACTGAATTGAATACGGATAAATGATTATAAAAATGATTTTAAAACGGCGGAAACATTTTTATTTTATATTTTCCTAACCAAGAATTTTAAAATATTTATAAGCAATTAAAATTGAAATCCAAGCCGATGTAATTTCAACTTATTGGTCTATAAAAGTACGAAAGTTAAGTAATAATAATAATAATAATACAATAATAAAAGACTGAGCAAACCCGGAGGTTCGATGTCGACAACATCAATCGCTTATTACACACCTCGCTCCACCGTTCGCCGTCCAGTCCCTTCAGATCGGCTTGAATGCAATCTACCCACCTTTACTTCGGTCTACCTCTCGGACGTTTACCATTCGGTACAGCAAATATCAACCTTTTCGGAATTCTTTCACCTCAATTATATTAACTGGATACAGTCCACGCAACTCGACGTTGTAGCAACCTTCTGAACTCTCCGATTAACTCATCTTTCTTCGGTCCAAATATTCTACGCAAACAAAAGTTAAGTATAACATATAAATAATAACATTGTTAAACTACTTTTTAAGCAAACCAAGAGTTTATTTATAAAAATATAATTTTTCATAAGTACCAAAAAAATTATACTAGTCACGTGGTTGATCGAAACTTGAACAATACTACAAAACCTCATACAAATGCGATAATCTTCATGAGAAAGGCTATACTGTTTGTATTTAAAAATATGTACTTATGTAAATATATAAAAATATGTACTTCCATTTAAAAATTGTAAAATTACCTACGTATCGACTCGATATTAAAACTCATAATTTAGTTGTTACCTGTATTTAAAAAAAAAAAACTCCTGCCAATTATTACACAGTGGTTTATTATCTAAAAACAGTTATATATCAAATGTAATACTACTTTCCTTTGTCACAAAAAAAAAATAAAGGGTCATTCCTAATACTGGCCTAATTTTTTTTTCATCATTGATAATTTGCAAAAAAAAAAATAGACATACATTGCTTCAGTTGATGTAAAACTTTCAATAAAACAAAAGATATAAGCTTTGCTGTAGAACATGTGTAGCATATTTAGAACATCATATCTTTGTACCGAATTGTCCGATTTCATCGATTTTTTAGGAAATTTCGTAAAATGACATCCACAAAAAAGTGTATAGTTCTTGAGTTATTCGGAGATCTAATTACACCAACCTTTATAACTATTTTTCCAGCTTCTTTTTGTGATGTATAATACATAGATACATTTAAAGGACTTCGAAGGAGTAAACTAAGTTTAATAAAAATCGGTGCATTGGTTTAGACGTTACAGACTATATCTGTACAGGTTTTTCTGCCGCTATCTTGAAATGGAAGTACTTTTCGATTAAGTGTGTGATACAGACAAATTTGAAGGTCTTCGACAAGAAGACTTTGGCCAAGTGTGCTTAAAATCGGCACATCCTTCAAGTAGCCATAGTCTTTACAGTAAAGGTTTTTACGCAACCATACTGAAAGCAAAGTACATTTCGTTGACGTATATTATATAAATACATTTAAAGGATTTCGAGGAGAATACGTTTGCAAAGTTTCATTGAAATCAGTACATTCCTATAAGCCTTACAGGACGTTACAGTCTGTAACGACACAGGCTTTTTGTCTGCCATCTTGAAAGGCAAAGAGGGAAGGTAGCTGACCAGAATCGAGGATCATCCTCGGATGCCTTTGTACATTGATACTAAATCTCAAAACAATCGGTCCCGTAGTGTCGGAGAAAAACTACCGACGGACGGATTTTTTTTTAATTCTATTTTTGGATTATACATGTATGAAACGTAAAATCTCAAGTTTTGAGGGAAGTTATTGAAAATAATAAACAAAATAAGATTTTTTGGATTATCGTATAAAATAGCTGATTGTTCTAAGAATTATATATAAATCCTTTTGAAACTAAGTCAAAAGTATGTATATGGTGATAACAATGGTTGGACTCAAACTCAATAAAAACACCAAAAATATATTCAACCGTTTATTATTACTGTAAAATTAGTTTCGTAGAAACTGATTTTTAAAATATATTTTAATGAAAATCATAGAAACCGGTATTTTTATTCATATTTAAGCTGTAGTATTAAATGATTTAACTGTGTCCCACATTAAAAACACATGAAATTCTAATTACCAAAACATCTTGAAAATAGGGATGTTGGCCGCTCTCAGACCACTGTTAAATCATGCTGATTTAAAATGTATCTGCAATATTATAAAATACAAAAAAAAAACCATAGATTTTAGTCTGTTATTTTCAATAATGAACCATTGTGATCGAAAGAAAAATTCAAAAACTTAATTTCCTCTCAAAATTTGAGGTTTCGAGTTTCAGGATAAGTAGAATTCGAAAAAGGAATAAAACATTTTTGTCCGTCCGCCGTCCGTTCATTTTCTCCTAAACTACTGGACCGATTTGTTTCAAATTTTGATTTAATATTAGAGGTCACCCGAGGATGAACCTCCTTCATAGCTATTTCTATATTTTTCTATCCTATATTTCTATCCGCCTTTTTCCTTTCAAGATGGCTAGTGAAAAACCTGCTGTGCTATAGACTGTAGCACCTAAAGGAATGTACCGATTTCAAAGTCTCATCCAAATAAAAGCACAATTAGTAACGTTATCGCGATTTTCAAATATTTTTGTTTATTATTTATTATTATCAATAATTGTGATTGAAAAAAACATTCAAAAACTTAACCCCTCTCAAAATTTGAGGTTTCACGTTTCACGATACGTAGAATTCGAAAAACAAATAAAAAAAAGTTGTACGTCCGTCGACCACCGTTATTTAAAACTTCGTTATTTAAAAGTTAACGGAATTCCTTTAAAAAAAAAGTCGTTAAAATCGGACAATTAGGAGCAAAGATATGGTCTCTAGATGTTATTTATGTGTTATACTGCAAAGGTTATATCCTTTGTTTTGGTTTTTGATTTTTCAACGTGTTACTGAAATAATTCTATTTTTTTGCATGTTACTAATGATTAAAAAATATTTTTTAGTCCAATAATTGGAATCATCTTTCATTTCTTTTTCTTTGTCACTATTAAGGTAATGTTACTTAAGATGTATAATTGTTGGAAGTAATATACAATTGTAAAATGATTTGCAGCGTTTTTTTTTTTTTATTATATTAAAATCTAGCACAATATACTAACGATTTTTTGCTTTTTTATTTACTTTTCCTCTCATTCAATTTTGTCTTATATTCAATAATCTTCTCTTGAAAATTATATTATATATTATCAATTATTGAAAAGGGCCCACATCCAATTACTTTTATATTTTTAATATGTAAAATCCTAGTTATTGAATTAATTATAGCAGTTGTTTTCATAATAAATTGTATTGTTACGCTTGCAATTCCCAAGTCCCTTATCTATCTATCTCTTTCCACAGACTGCACATACCGTGGAAATTTTCTTAAATCTCAAATTAAGGGTGTACAATGCTATGATAAAGCAAGTTCTAATATATGGCTGTGAGATCTGGACATTAACCAGTACCCTAGAAAAAATTTTTGAAAGATTTGACGTCAAAATCCTCCGCAACATAACCGGAGCTTTCTGAGATCAGAGTACTAACACGCGGAGAAGGAAGACCAAAAAAGAACTGCTGACAGAAACTGGTCAATCAAAATCCCATAATATGAAGGCACGGAGGTTAAGATGGACGGAGCACATAACTTGTACCAATCCATCTGGAAGCCTCTACGTAACAATAAATGCTTCAATAAAAGCCACGTGGAATACCAAAAAGCAGATTGAAAGATGCAATAGAGCTGCATGCAGATAAATGGAAAGAAATAGTCCAAGACAGTCTGAGATAGAGCAGGCGTGTTAAGCCGGCAAATGATAAACATGATCTGCAATGCCAACAGAAAAAAAAAACAGCGTTTATCTGTGGTCAAAGAGCGTATTGTGGAAACCCCGTAGTACTCGCTTATTATATTTTATTATAATCTTTTTACTCTTACTAAAATTCATCTACAGGTAACCTATTGAATTAATTATCTTCCTATCATAAGGATTTCCAAAACGATGAATATTATCACTCAAAATCATTAACTATTAATAAATAAATAAAATCATTAATAATAAATTAATAAAACATAGTTTTTGCTTCATTTTATTTATTTATATATAAAAATATAAAAATTAATTGGTTTTAACGTTTGATTTTGAGCCGGACACGTTTTACTCCCATGTCTAATGATAGCCACCTGAAAAAAAAAAAGAATTAATGAGTTGTATGTATAATTTTTGCATTTTCAAATGTATATGAAAAATCCTTCATATGTAATAATATACCATGATTCACTCTATCTTTAATAGAGGATTATGTTACCTAACTAATATATTTTTGTTATGTATAATTATTGTTACATAAAGCTCAGATGGATGAAGAGTAGTTAGGTATTATGCGTTTATTATTTAAGTGATAACATTGATTGATACTCTATTATAATACGTACTATCTATATCAATGAAAATAAAAATCGTTTTATTCATCTGAAAAATGTGTGAAATTATTTTATAGTAGAATATTTTAAATTTTATCAGCTCATAGAGCTGAAATACGTAATATCTAAGATTTCAAGGAAGACTACATTCGTATGATTCCACTCAACATATTGTTGGAAGCCTTAGCTTATGAGAAAACATTTATAATGCAGGCTTCTTATTAATACATATAAATTAATATCTTATTTGACGTTCACTACAATTTGCGTAAGTATTCACTGGCATAAATAATAACTTACAAGTTCTTTATATTTGCAACTGGTTATCGAAAACATCTCTATTTCTTGGTTAGTTATGAAAAGCGAGTCCGAAGTGCCGTTCGAACTCTGAATAAGCAATTCCGATAACATCGACAAAAATCTGGTGTGTCCACACTTACACGACTTTCCTACCTATTTCAGAAAAAAATTTATATTTTTAAATATGTCCATTAAGAAACAAAAAAATATTGTATTCGATTTATTTTCCTGAGAATTGATCAAATAACAGATTTATGTACGATTTCTTAGATAAAATAAAGAAATTTAAACCGGCTTGTTTTGTTGGTAATTTAATTATCTGTCAAAAGTTTTCATATAAATTTTACCGTAGAATACATACTCAGTGAGTTAGGCCCCAAAACATTTTTCTTTTCTTTATAACTTTTTTTCCTGTATTTTCTCGTGAATTTAGTACATGTACAAACATTGATAGGAGATTAATTATAAAATTATAAAAAAGTTTCATCAAAATAGTTAGAACCGTTTTAGAACTACAATCTAGAGATAAAAACCTACTTTCTATCTGAGATGGTTACATCTAACAATAAAGAACGTATACAATATTAACATATACCCAACACATATTAAATAAATTACTATTCCGAAGAGAGGAAACAGCCACAAATTGGGAAAAAATTTCTCGAAAATGTTTCAGAATTAAAATTAGAAACTATTTTGGATTTGGCGGACATTATTATCCCCCCTTGGAGACATACTTCGTCAATTATAGATAACTCGATGGCTGAATTTCGAAAAGATACGATACACCCTATTAAAACACAAAAATTCTTCATTGAAATAATGGAAAACACAAAAACCGTAATGTGGTATGTACTGATGCTTCAAAAGTAAAGAGTGAAGTAGGATACATGATTGTAAATACTCAAATACAAAAGTATTTCAAACTTCAAGAGATCTGATCTGTGATTAGTGAAGAGATGATAGCAATAAGAGAAGCATTGGCGTACATTGAGACAACTGATAGTAACAATTGGGCAGTAGTTACGGACTCAAGGAGTGCAATCCTAGGCATCGAAAATAATAACCACTTTGGCAAGAACTATCAGAAATATTTGGTGGAAACTAATGGAAAAGGGAAAGATAATAACGTTCTTCTGGATCCCTTCACACTGTGGAATCGCTATCGCAAACGATTGCAGTACCTACCATTACTATATATTTCATATATACATAACTGAAAGTAAAAAAAATACAAACGATTAAATAAAATTAGAGCAACAGCAACATACCATAAAAATCGCTTTCATTAGAATCTTAATACTTGGGAGCCAAGTATATCTTAAGAAAATAAATAATTAATATATTTAGTCAATTATGTTTCTTTTACAGCCTCGAAAGTGATAATAAATGATATATAAAAAGTATTATAGAATCATAAAGTAAAAATTTGGTTTGACTACCTCCTCCTCCACCAGACCATCCACCACCTCCTCCACCTCCTCCGCTTGACCATCCACCACTTCCTCCTCCTCCTCCTCCTCCTCCTCCATTTGACCATCCACCACTGCCTCCCCCTCCTCCACCGGACCATCCACCTCCGCCACCGCCGCCACCATTACTCCATCCTCCTCCACCTCCTCCATTGCCTCCACCGCCACCATTACTCCATCCTCCTCCGCCTCCTCCACCGCCTCCACCTCCACCTCCTTTTGCAACTGTGACTTTATCAATCTTAATGACAACTGTTTTATGTCCTCCTCCACCTCCTCTTCCACCTCCTCCTCCACCTCCACCACCTTTCCAACCGCCTCCTCCTCCTCCTCCCCCACCACCGCCTTTGCCACCTCCCAGACCTCCCAGTAGACCTAGTATGCTACTTAAATCAAAGCCTAAAAAATAAAATAATAATTTAAAAGAGATCGATATACCAATAAAAAACAATAAATATTTATCATACATACCTGTGGATGATGACTCATGCAATATAAAGCTGAAGCACAGTGTTATCAATACCAACTATAAAAAAAAAACCAATCTCTTAAAATAAAACATATATTTATGGTATTATTAATATACGAGTATTATTCATTTGCGTTAAAATACATGTTTCAATTAAGTAAAACGAGTCGTTAAAAGAATTCTAGAAGTAAGAGCAGCTTAGATTGGTGGATATCATGAGAAAAATTCTTATACTCTAATGGTAAATCTATTGTTTTTTTTTTAAAAAGCAGTTTGGAAACAAAACGAGTACCTTACACATCTCACAATTTAAACTCCAATTTAAATTAGACAATTTAATTCCAAGTATTATGTGTTTTACAATTGAAACAATTATTTAGAATATCATTTATTTATTTAATCTTCCAGAAGAATAAAAAAAGAAAAAAAATCACTTACCTTCATTGCTCGGAGTGTGTGCTATTTGGGACAGTGATAGTAGCTATATACCTTCTCAGTTGTGGTGGGGGCTTCATCTATATTCGAAAACCACAAGTGTGTGACATAGGAACACTGTGAAATATTAACCTTCTGAATAACAGACATGTTAAAAGTACATATTCAAAGAAAAAAGAGGATCATCTTAGGTTTTATTTTTTTATTAAGGTTCTCTTTCAAAACACGTTAACGATATTTAAATAGTATTTGAGATACTTAATTGTCAAATAGATTATCGAAGTTCAAAACTCAATAAGAGATCCTCCAACATAAGTGCGTCAGTATAACTCACAAGTCGGTATATAGTACATTTCAACATATTAAAAGATATAGAAAAAGAGAATAATTAAAAATATCATTTTCCTAGGTAGATTAACTATTTCCAATCATGGTACGATTCAACATCATTGGACTTATCTACAATTTCAAATTAGGAAATGTTATCCACCCTGCGGAAATGTACTTCCTTATGCACTGAAACATCATTGAAGATGATAGGAAAATTGACATCTATGAATAATTAAACTTTGTGTAATAGTCGGGTTCCTATCACACCACAATATTCTTGACTCGTCTCGGTCTCGCATTTGGGCAACACTAAGTACATCCCTTAATGGTGAATAAAATTTCCCAATTTCTGTAGTTGTTTTTTGTTTTTTTAATTAAAACATTTTATTATTTTTACATTTTTTAAGATATTATAAATTCATTATCATAACATATGATCATATGATATTGTTTCAAATCAATTAATAATCGATATATTTAAATTATAGTACATTTTTGTTAGTATTTTGAGCACAAATTGTTTTAAAATATTCACGACATCTAACTAAGTAATTACAGCTGTCAAAGTGTATGTATGTATATATATATATATACGCAAAGTTATTTCTTACAATGTCTCTATGAAAACTATTTATTTCCTCTTTCTGGTTTAGCACTTTTTTTCCAGTTCATGTTGCTTCAATATAATTTTTTTGGGTTCCTCGATGACCTGAGAAATAACTCGATTAATCTCATCTATTTTTTGTACTATTGGTACAGTCTCTTTTGTATTATGTTTTATCTACAAGCGTAAAAGATATGATGGTGAATTCCTAATGATTTAAATTAATTTCGGATAATTTTGTTAATCCGAGAGGGAAAGATATTGTAGATTATATATTACGCTAACTTCTGAGATAGTTTTCCTATTTGAAATTGAAAGGAAATTCATAAAGAAATTTTTACATGATATCTGCTTACGGATTTCAAAAAATACGGCCGCATTTACGACTTTTTTTTCTGATTTCCCATTTCATTTACTCCTTTCATTCATATATTCATGCAGGTATTTTCATTTCATTTCATTACAATTCTGAGATATGAGTGGATTTTCTTTAATTATTAGGTGGATGTGAGTAAAGCTTTTATATCCTATTCTCAGCCAAGTAAAAACAACTTTCTTTCTGTGGTTACTGCGATTGGAGCTGCTCCATATTTTCACTTCTTTCTCGGGGAAGGGCTATTGTCCCACAAAATTTACCACACATAGAATTTGGCCTCTTTCACACCATTTTTCTTTTCATTAATGTCATTGTTAATTTTTTAACTCTTAGTAATTATACTTTTAACTTTTCTGTATAAACTAAATTTACATCAACTTTTTATTTTACTTAAATAGTAAATTACGCTACGTAAAGTGACATATTTTATTTATTTTTGACGAATACGTGACTATGTATAAAAGATACCTAAAACTATTTCAAATTAATTAACAGTCCAAAAAATATTTGAAATGAAACACCAATTTTTTAAAAATTTATTTATTGAATAATATAAAATTCTATTACTTTTACAATGGTTCACTATTACATTAACACTATACAAAAATAAATAAATAAAAAATACTAATAAAAAGTATATAAATAAATAAAATAAAATAACTAAAAGATAAGTAAATTAAAAAAAACAAAAATACAAAGGTTAACTTAAAGATAATACACCTGCACATAACAAAAAAATACATACCTACATGTAACTCCAATTACGCGTTAACAAGATTACAGTAGAAAAGCAAAGTAAATTCATAAAATGTTTACAAAAAATTTTCCTTTTTATCTTCCACTTAAGAGTTAGAAAAACGTTCTAACAGTGAACAATTTTTTAACCGTTCGTGAGACCACCACCTGCAAAGGTCGAAACGACGGCAAAGTTGATAAACATGATTTTTGACTGCACTTCCTGATTATTTTCTATCATAAAAAAAGTTTAATATTCAACACTGGTTGATGTATATAGATAAATCTGTTGGATGAAATTATGTTATTATATTGAATAATTCAGAGGAAAACTCTAAAGTGTGATCCCGGCCCGAACATCTTTATGCCCATTCGTGTTTATTTTTAATGTTTTGTAATTATTTAATATAATTTAATATATTTAATATAATAATATTTTTAAAAATAAATTAATACGTAAAAACAGAAAATCTTACAATTTGATATCAATTATACTTATTTTTAAACTATATTTAATTAAGTTAATGAAGTTAATATAATAAACCATGTGAAGTTAATGAAGTTATTAATTAAAAAGAAAACAAAAAGGCCAAGACCATTTCATTTAATGACGGTATGTTGTACAGAAATTTTACTTTTCTCTGTCTTTTCTAGTGATAAATATCAGAGATAAAATTTGTTAACAAATAACATAGTAAAGAAATATAAAATGTGATTGTATTTAAAAAATAATTCTGACTGTAATCTATTTTATGCTATGGTACTATTTCATGCTCACAAATATTTCTCTTAAATGCAGATATCTTTGACATTAGCGTTATCGAAATTTTTGGTCCGATATTATACAAATATCGTACCATCGGCTAATATCTATAAGGAATATCCAAACATGCCAAATGGCGCAACAAACCTAAGTGTAATAATAGGAATTGTGGAATGGAGCGGAGAGAGAAGCATAGAAGCAGGGTTTGGAAATAGCGCGGTAAAGGTGACAGTGCTACTGGGTGCCGTTTGAGTTTTGTTTAATGTTTGAAGGTTCTGTGAGAACGCAAATATGTATTGGTTTTTACAACGGCATCTCTTGCATCAATGGTCTTGCATCAATATCTGGATAGCATCTACCAAACCAAGAAGGAATCTATTCCACACAAATTCGTAGAATAGAATAGAACAGAATAGAAAATAATTTTATTCTGGGACGAAGTCCTTTTAGAATAACAAAAAGTACAAAATTAAAGTATTATATCTGGCCCAAGTAAAAATAAACATAAAAAAGTAAAGAAAATATTAGTTAAATATACTATGTACAAAATAGAAAAAAATCAATATACAAAACGCTTGAAATCGTGCCAAGACACTTAAAACTTTGTACAGTGGTAAAATATAACTATAAACTTTTTAAAAAAATAAAAATACATTACATTATTCTTAGCAATAAACTCTGTTTTTTGCAGAAAAAAATAAAAACAAAGGAAAATAAGATGAATCTGATAGTAAGTATTTGAGTGATGAATTAAACGTAAATAGATCATTATATGAGTCATTTTGAATAACATGTAAATTTACATGGAAGGTTAGCGGAGGGTTTCTGACTGTTTTTGGGATAGAAATTGGAATAGGAGGGTTTTAAATGTAGATAGGGAGGGAGAATGCCGAATTTTGAGAGGAAGGGAATTCCAGAAATTGACAGAGCGAGCAATAAAAGAGTTTCGGATATGAGAAGGAATATAAAGGTCGGAAGGTGGAGATCTGGAATACGACGAAGTCGGAAGTATTTTCGTATTGGCCACATCAAATGGAACTTTAATAATATATTAAATAGCTTTTATTTTTTTTAAGTGTTTTAAAAATGGAACCTTTGCGGTCTAATGCGTTGTAGTTCTCTTTATAATTGATGCACTTTTAAGGCTTATAACAAAGATTGTAATCTGTATCTTTTTCTACATGACTATTGGCACAAATACCAAACTTTATGCTTTTGATAGTCGATTGACTAATATCTAAACAATTATAATATTTGTATGTAAGGTTGAACACTTAGATTGTGGTTACAAAAAAATTACAATGTAGGTTTAGGTATTTTTCTCAACTCCGTTAGTTTTAAAATTTATTCCATTGATACCAATAATTGTATCAGTGAGCTAATTTTTTAATTTTTCATGATGAAAAAATTTATGGTTATAATAACCATGGTTGTACGTTTCTCGAATATCGTTATTCAAATGTTTATCTAGATAGCAAACAATAGATAACTTTGTATTAGTTATTCTTATTAGATTGATTGGTTATTCTTATTGTCTATTAATTGATAACCTGTGTTATCTATTATTTATTATTCGTCATTTAAGACAACAATTTCATTCGAATAACTTTTTATTAACTTAATTTATTAACTTCGATATAAGTGTCCAGTTAGGTTGTATGGAGCGCTTTTTATTAAAATGCAGTAAGATTAAGCATTGTGAAACTATGCATCTATTTGTTCTAGCTTTAGAGATTCCTTCGATATCAGAGTCCACTATTATGTTTTCGGGAGGGATTTTCATGAAAGTACTAACGGATTTAAGATTGCGCATCGGAGCTTATGATACTCTATATATCAAAAATCCTTTCAGTTACAAATATTCGATGGGCAATCTTAAATCCGACACAGTTTTCATAAAAAGTACCCTCTCAACATAGTAGTGGGTCCTTATATCGAATAAATCCGAAAAGTATTAAGACTGGATGCGCAATTGCACAATCTCAAATCCGACAGTATTTTTATAAAAAATACCACTGACAATATAATATTGGGCCCTTATATCGAATAAAATCCTTAAAATTCCAGCTATACGATGCCCAATTACGCTATTCTAAAAAAGAATTGCTAAAATACATTTATAATTCAATTTTTATTTACAAATATGAATTTATTTATTCATTTAGATTGTTTTCAATATAATTTGTAAATTAACATGCTCATATAATTTGTATATCATATATATATATATAAATATACTTTATTGAACATAGTAATAAATTAAGTTTTTTAGTAAAGTTATTTTAATTATAGCACTTATTTATATCATGATGATCACAGGTACTGTTGGTAATTAGAAAGCATGATAAACACAAACGAGCCTTTGAGGTAAGAAATTCAATCAGTTAATCATGGACCATTATAGATATATTATAGATCCAAGTTTATTTTACTAATTTTTTATTATTGAGGATGTGATACAAAATAACTACAAAAATTAAAATATTCTTTTCATTGGGGAGACTGAGACCATCCCCTCTTCGCTAGATCCATTTTTTTTATTTTCTACGATTCGTGAGTTATTAAGACATCGGGAGTGTTGTATTTGTTGCTCTACCTCTACATGTCATCTTGTGGTATCCTCACTATACCGACTTTCCCTTATAGAGATTTGTTTTCAAATGTATCTTGTTTCTCAACTATAACATTTATGTGAGTAATTTTTATCATATATAAACAAAAAATTGGTTAGATATAAAATAACATAAAATATGTATAAAATGTAACACTAATGAAATAATTTCATTAGTGTTATACTTTGTACCTATAATTAAGTTACGTAATGAAAAAGAAAGAGGTTTTCTTATACATATTTTCTCCTTTTATCATTTCTATAAAAAATTTATTTATACAATTTACATTTCATATGTACAAATTAAACAAAATTACAAGATCAGTGACATGATGGTAGTGTAGATCTTCATTAGGTGCTTCTCGTTTTCCTAAATGGTCTTGATATCGTCAGTGGTTTAATACCAGCCACCTAAAATGCATTATCAATCCATTTACAAACTTTATTAAATACAGCTTAGGACAAACTTAAATAACAGAGGTAGTTTAACACTCTACAGTAGGCTGTGTGTCAGTGGTATACGGTAGAGTTTTGAAATTGGTCCTTAGGGATCGGTTCCTTCTCAATTTTGTTGTTTGAAATTGAAATTTTATTGTATAAGCAGATGTTGAATAAGTTGTTTAAAGTATTTTATGTAATTCCAATGTTTTATGACAGTATAAATACCCTTGCTTATACTGTCTGTATTTCATATTTGCTAGTCATAAAACGGTTTCTAATCATATTGCCTAGAAGCTCTAGTTACTAGTAAGATTCTTCAGTTCAATAGTATCATGCATTATCTTCCACAAAAGTTCATGAGAGTATTTTTTTGGTTTTTAAATTCGTTTTCTCGAAGATGATTGCGTACATGTCCAGATACAAAACGAAAGTAAGACTGTAGTACATATTCCAAAAAAACAAAAAACAAAAAAACGATCAGTTCCTCAGAATTTAGTAAGTTTTGAATACCTTGTAATCGTAATAAAAACATCTTATCGATACTGTACAGAAATTAATCGATTATTTTTAAATTTTCCAAGTATTTTTTTCCCTTTTTTTTCTTTCCTGAAGTTAATACGAAACAAAACGTAATTATTAACCTTTGTGATTATTAGCCTTCTTGTGTATAATATAAAGAATTTTCGTACCTCCTCCACCTCCACCACCATTTCCGCCGCTGGACCATCCACCGCCACTTCCTCCTCCATTCGACCATCCGCCATTTCCTCCTCCACCTCCACTCGGCCATCCTCCCCCGCCGCCGCCGCCACCTCCACTCTTCCATCCACCGCCGCCTCCTCCGCCACCTCCACTCTTCCAGCCGCCACCACCGCCTCCACCATTGGACCATCCACCGCCGCCACCACCGCCGCCTCCACTCTTCCATCCTCCGCCTCCACCGCCACCTCCATGGCCTCCGCCACCACCGCCTCCGTTTCCTCCACCTCCGCCCAAGGTAATGATCTTAATAATTGCCGGTTGAATTATTGCTTGGCCTCCACCGCCTCCACCTCCGTTGCCACCTCCTCCGCCATTCTTCCAGCCACCACCTCCCCCTCCACCGCCTCCAGACCAACCTCCACCACCATTTCCTCCACCTCCGGACCAGCCTCCACTGCCACCTCCACCACCTCCAGACCAGCCGCCGCTTCCTCCTCCTCCTCCTCCTCCACTACTCCATCCTGTCAAAATTTTAAAATTGGTGATAAAATTTTCCATTATTAATTTGATCCTTTATTAATTATATGTATTGTAAGATTATAAAACGCACCTGATAAGGCCTGGTGCACAAGTGCGCTGAAGCACACTGCCGCACAAATCAACTGTAACAAATAATTTAATTTAATAAACGTAGATTTAATCATATTTTTGTAAGGCTTAAAATAGTAAAACCAGTGTCTGGAAATAATGAAAAGTTTTAAGATTTATGATTTCGTTTCAAATCATGATTCCCAATCACATTATAGATGATTAAACAAATAATAAAAGTTTCTAAAAATCAATCAAGTAGTATATTTAAATTTCTGAAATTTACCTCGAAGTAATCATAAAGTTTCATAGTCACTATTAAATGATCGTGTAATCATTTAAATGTTTTTGGAATGAGGACAGCTTTAAGTTTCCACGCCTCTGTACTTCATGCTCTCTTCCTGTTTACCCAATTTTCCTATTAAACTGCATTGTTTTCTTTCCGATTATATATCATTAAGAAGAACAATTTAAATAAAATTTCTGAGCTTTTTATACTATAATACATTTTTCGGTCAATTTATTACATTAATATTGGTTATTGAAGCGAAAAAAAGAAGAGATATATGATAAGTAATATAGAAAAACAATCATTTCTTAATATTATTTCATGATCTCGGCACGATTAAAAACGACAAACCTCTATTGACGTATTAGTAAAAAGGACGATATGATTTCGTTTCAGTTCCCTATACATTTTATTTTTAGATCGGAACTCTCTCTTTCGTCTCACGAATTCACTATCCATGGATAACCGTAACAGATGCGATCCGTAGATAGTAAAGGAAGGCTCCTGGAAATAGATAACTTACCTTCATCTTTTGGGGTGAGTGTGGCCTGAGGGTTGCCAGAGGGTGGTTATATACCTCTTAAGTTGTGGTGGGGAGACTCCGCCCCACTGCTCCCGCATCCTGAGTTTCCCATTTAACAAACACACAAACATGTGTAAGTCCTTCCAGTGAAATAGGTGCTTTAATTTCTTTTACCAGAAAGTTGAGGGATTATTTTATATAGAAAAACATGATATTTGTATTAAACTTGAGATGAAAAATGTAGGAATTTTTTATCACAATTGTTTTGTATTCAAGTTGATGCCGAACGTTAGGAACACATTTTGTATCTAGATAAAATCTGTACCGCTTCAAACCATAAATGTTTTTGGAGTTCACTACTTTGTAAAGTATTACCTTTTCAAGACCAAGAGTTGTGCATACATATATATATATATATATATATATGGAATGCAAATATATATATATATATATATATATATATATATATGTGTGTGTGTATAAAATTCATATAAATAAATAAACATATTTACAGCTATTAAGCATTCCAGCGAAGAACCTTGTTAAAGGTCTGTAAAATAATATTGGTTTATCTGATAGGAGATATATACATATATCTACTTACGTGAACTGTAGTTAATTACTAACCATCTAAGGTAAATGTACCAGCAACAGACATTTTCAACTCATCAATCGGCTAGAACATATATACCCCCAAAATGGAATCCAAATACGATAATATTTGAAGCTAGAACATTTTATTATGTGTTCACCCTCTTGGATGATACCTGACCCTTAAGTGGTTTTATGCCACATTAGCCGAATGGTTGATTTTTAATGGAGCAAGGCTGGATCATTGTTTCAGGGATATTTCCTCTTTTCTTTTCTTTAGTAGATGTGTTTGAAATTTTGATCCATTTATCTGTAGTTTGCCATTTCCTTATTTAAAACTATGAAGAATTTATTTCGGATTTTTTTAATTATATAAAAAAAATCGTCTGACCCCAACGCCTGGGTGTCTATTACTGGTGCAGAATACTGTCGGAAATTCCTAAACTTTTCATGAATAATAAGCTAATTGGCTGTATAGAAAAAACGAATTTGGTAAAATATTAAATTTTCAGTGAATCCAACTTATTTTCAAAGATCAGACCTCCGTCAGATCTGAAATTGTGGTTCACATCAGTGTGGAAAATTTCTCTTAGAATGTCTTTATGCCGCCACATTTACCTTATTCGGATTCCACTAGATTACACTTACAAATATTTGCTGAATAATAACCCTATTGAAATGATTTCCAAAATTTTGAAAGAGAGTGGCACAAATTACTAGTTTTAAAATTATAATTGTTGGTCCCACGAACGTATTAGCTAATTATACAATCTCTCCTCTTTTGCCATATTCCTCTACCATTCATGGCTCTGAGTTTTTTCTCGTCAAGCCATTTTGTAATATATGATCAAAAAATTCTATTCACACAACACTTTTGTATTTTTTTGTATATTAATTTATTGAGTTATATTTACTAGTTATGTATTTCTGACGATTAATTGGCCTAACATTCTGGATGTAAAGACGGTCCAAAATTATCATTTGCAAAGGGGTTCACAAAGTGTAGTAATTGATTTCAATAAAACTTTTTATGGTCGAAAAATATTAGACTCGTTTCTATGGAATCTTGGCATTCATTGACCCCAAAGATTCTAATAAAGTAAATATTACATAAAATATAAAACTTTACTATCTTTTGATATTAAAGTAAATTTTAATTAGCAAAGTAAATTTTTGTCAAAAAAAAAATTGAGATTCGTTTGTGTTCTTTAAAACTCTTAAAACTTCAAATGGCATTTAAATAAAAATGTTTGGACTTCAAAACTGACTTTGATATACTTTAAAGCTAAAAAAAATTTTACGATGCATTTTAAAGCCCGATTGTCTGCACGAAGGTACGTATTGGTACACAAAAATAATGACATAACCATGACAAATATTAGTTTTCATATAGATATGTTTTTCTGTTGACTGATCATTTATAATTATTCTATACAATAGTAATTTACCTTATGTTAAAATTGTTTTGCTTCCTCACTACCGAAGGTAGAGAAGCATTGAGAGGTTAAAAAAAAATGTATGCTCATAATCGAAAATTTCCACTCGCATTTTACGTTTCAGACATCAACGATCAAATTTGGTTCGGTGTCTGTTTGTCTGTAGTCAAATCTATGTAATCACCTACTACCGTTTATCCAATTTTCATGAAATTTTCAAGGATTGTGCTAGTTGGAGTCTAGATAGTCCCATATCAATTTTATTAAATTCTAACCACCACTTCTGCTTACGCACGCGCAAACGCATTTTCGTAGATATGCCAATATTTCAGAAACGGTTTTTTCGATTTGGCTCAAAGTTGGATAAAAGGTAGGTACTTGTAAAAAAAAAACAATGTAGGGTCAATTTGATTGAATTTTGTCCTTTGTTTCTGTTATTTATGCGCAAACCTGTTTTCCTAGATACGTCTATATCTCTAGAACCGCAAATTCGATTTATCTCAACCTTGGAGGGAATTTAGGGATTGGTCAATGTAAAATGAATTTTATCAAATTCTATCTAATACTCCATAAAAAAAAAACTTCCACTTTCAGATCAGAAAATGTGTTATTTGATATCCCTATAGTTTGAAACCGGATCTGACCCAAACTTGGAGGAAATCTGGAGAACAATATTGAAATTACTTGCTATCAATTTCATTGAATTCCATTTAATAATTAAAATTGATATAAATAATTATTAACACTATAATGGCTGTGAAATGTGGAAGGCACCGATCATATGGAGTGAGAGTTAGGTTATTACAATATTGTTATGGAGTTATAAAGTTTCAAGTTTTATTCAAAAAGTTAATTTATACTGCATTGTTTGGTCGATTTCAAACATTACTGGCATGACACTTATTGCGGTTACATAGATTTCGTGTAATTTAAGTAAATTTAAAGTAATTTTTACTTAGTAATTTACAGTAATTTGTAAAAAAAAAAGTTCTTAGCTGTGATTGTGTTTATTTCCATTGAAGTTCAACCAGTTCCGATTTTCTCCTTAAATATCGAAATTGTGTCAACTTCACTCATATTTTTATATTCCAGCTAAACTAGTTTTGTTCTAACTGAAATAAGGGCAATACAAAATAAAATTATACTAATAAATCATAAAGAAATAATTAATTTTTTTGCTCTCCTGTAAAACACTCAATTTTTATATACGTCATTTGCACTAACAGTAGCCAGATGCATATTCAGTAAGAACAGGATTTTTTTTTTTAATTACGAATTATTAAATACACAACCTTCATATGCGGAACTTTTTTGTATTTTAGTATTTTCTGATAAACAAAACTAGTGGATATCAAGCCCGTATATGTTAAGGGATTATTGAATTTCTGAAAACGGCTTCTTCCAGTGATTTTACCCTGATAAGAAAACATTTAGACCTTTTATTATTGATATTTTTTAGCAAAGGAAAACGGTGAGGACCTTTGCTAACATATTTTTATCAAGTATTAATTTTGTAAAAGACTAAAAGATATCGTGGTGAGGAAATATTTTCCATCATTCGATATAATATTAATAATCTAGAATTAACGAGGGTTTTATTGAATTTTAAATAACATTTAATTCCTTTGACCTTTATTACCATTCTAAGAATGATAAACGATTGGTGTAAAGCACGTTCTGTGTTGGAGGAGGTAGGGAGATACTAGGAGTTAGTGATGGAACGATAGTTACAGAGAGAGTTCGACAGGATGTAGGGAGTTAGTATTGCTCGCTTCAAGTCCAAGTAAACCTAGTTTAATTATATGTTTGTATATATATATATATATATATATATATATATATATATATATATATATATATATATGTGTGTGTGTGTGTGTGTATACATACATATATATTTATATATTATTATTATGATTATTATTAAATAAATAATAATACAATATTAATTTAAAGTATTGAGTTTTTTAAGATTAATGATTGTACTGTAGAAAGTCAAATAATGAAGTTTTATCTAATTTTTCATTTTTATTGTTTTTTAACGTTTCGAGCTAGTCACTTATTTTTCAAAGAATTTTTTTTTAAAACTTATTTATCGAAAAATATTACAATCTGTCTCTAGGATATTTATAATAGAGTTCACAGATCACATTCACACTATTTTCAAAGAATTACAGTCTGTTTCATATTTTTTCTTTTTTGTTGAACCAGTAATTCCATATAATAAATATATTTATTCACATCATTATCATAAAACTATAAGTTTCAACATTTTGTTTTAATGTTACGCTTATCTTGATGTCTTGATTTAGAATTAGTTGGGTATTACTTCTTATTAATATCTATATTTCATGTTGCTATTCAAGCCCCAATTCAATAATAACTAAATTGAAAATAATATTTTGTATGCTGTTTTTTCGTAAACTCCGTTTTATTTGTCCATGGCTTAAGAACACGTGCTGTAACAATTAATAAATTTAATCGAATGTCTTGAAAAATAACTATCTTGCAACGTTACTGATATAAAAATGTCCATAGTAATTTTGAAAATCTATGTTGTTTTTTCCAGAAATTATGTCAAAAAGTCACTCACTACCACTCTATTAGTGGCAGTGAGTGGACAAATAAACCTTGTAATTAACAAGATGATCTGTCTTCTACAAGTTTTCTAATTAAAAATAATTTATTCAGTTTTTCTACTTTTGGACGCAGATTTGTTGACGTGGTTTATTATGAACTAAAAAAATATTTCAAATTTTATGGGAACAAGATCTATCTAAAGGCACAACTTTCTTCAGCTGATGAATCTCTCTTCTAATGAAACGGTTTTTGTTAATATACAATATTTGGGTACAATCTTCCACATAACAAATATACCGATCAGTTGTTTTCAGTTGTATCAATTAATTAGGAAAAGCTAACGTGATTAAAAACACTATATTGGTATTATAGAAAATAATTAAAATTAAAAAAAAAAACTTAGGTGTATGCTTCGGACACACATCAACAAAGTGAAACCATCAACAAGGCTAAATTAACAATATTAATGTGAATTATAAATAAGAGCTCATTATAAAGATGATGAAATGCTGATCATTTCCCTCCCTTACAGTATGCTGGTCCGATTTTTAGTTTCTGAGATATTTTAATCCATGTCTTCAATAAAACTCGTTATCATTTGGTTTTCGAAATTGTTTTTTTTTTTTTTCATTTTCTCTGCTCTAACACGGCTTCGCATTAAGATAAAATTTTGAATAATAGCCCATTGCAAAGAGAATGAAATGACATACATTTTCCTCTCTAAATTTTTGAGAGGTTTTAATACATATGCAAAAACACTTCAATTATTCGACTCCACCCGACTTAACCCGAGCGTTACACATCGAAGATCTGACGGATCAATCTAATTCAATCTCCACAAAAAAAAATGCGAAACACACCTAAAGAAGTTTTCACTTAAAATAAGCAAACAGTTTTTCCGTTGAAAATTTTCTTGTAAAGGTTTTAAAGAATTTTCATTTAAAAAATGTCGATATAAAAAAATACTTATTCATAGCTACTCAAACAAATGACTCACTAGCAACGTGTGAAATTTATTTAAGACAAATTACAACTCCAATCTTAGCCCAATTACTGTTTATTTTTCGATTAACTGGACTTTTTTAAAAAATAATTAACTAAAGATTTTTTTCCTAAAAAAGGTTTCACATAAACTTAAATTTTTTTATTTTTTTTTTTAACTTTCTTTATTGAATATTAATACATTCTGCCACATTGAAGGGCATTAATATTAAGGCTACATGATTCATTCACACAATATGTACATACAATTAATATTAATAATAAAGAAAAAGAAATATAAAAATAATAAAGTAAGTAAATTGGTATGCCTGTGTACAAAAAAATAATGAAATAATAGATAAAAGCTAGATTAAAGTAAAGTAAATTAAAGTAAATAAATCACATTCACACCTATGTACAATATTTACATTCACCCTCAGGGTACTCTGAGTCATGCCTTATTCCCCGACGTGGAAGCCAAGGCAGGACTCTAGGAGATCCCAGTGCTTCTCTCTCAGCCGCGTCACTGTTAGCCGATCAAAAGCTTGAGAAATGTCCAGAAATGCCCCCGAACAATACTCTTTACTTTCTAAACTTTAAAATAAAACTTTTTTTCTAAAAAGATTCAAATAAAATGTTAAAATGGAACTATTTAATTAAATTCCCTAAAAGTTTCAACCCTTAGTAATTTCTAATTCTCATTATTATTTTATTTTATTTTTTTAATGGATCAAACAGTTACTGAGTTTTAGAGTAGTTCACCCTAATAACTTTTATTTAAAAAAAATAATAAACACATTTATCAAATAAATAAAGATCTTATTGATTTTAATATACTGATTTCGTCATACTTTATTACGAACGGAAAAGTAAGTATTTGTTAGGTGGAATACATATGCAAGAAACATAAACCGATGAATTACAATTAAATGTTCCACAGCTCACAACTCTCTTTTTACAAAAGGAAGTGAAAACAATGTTGTTTTTTAAACGAAATAACAGTTCCTACTTCATGGTTTGTTACACTCAACGAAACCGAAATCACAGCAGAGCGAGGAACGTTGCTTTTCTTTTTTTTTTTCCACATAGTTTTTTGACAGCGTGCATTATTCGACATTTGGCTTGGCAAGGAGTGCATAGATTTTATATAAGTATGCAATACATATGAATACCGTACGATACAGAGTGCTTCTTTTGGGATGAATATGACTTACATAATAATTCCAACGAAATATTTATCACCTATTACGAGCTTTTTAGTTGTTATGAAATGTGATGAAACTTTATTTAGCAACTCCTGAGCAGCTTCCATCTTCTGCTATATTATTCCAAATATATTTTGGAAAATTTTAGTTTTATAAGCAAAACATCCGAAAATCGATATGCTATCATCATCGGTGATTTCATCGATTGTTATTTATCGATCATTCATAATTCATTTCTTTTAATTTGTTTCAGGTTTTCATCAGTGTTTGATCTGCAGGAATGTTCAGGGAGTTCTTAAGTTTCAATATTTTCTTGAAAAAGCTTATAACATTGGTTGTGGTACACAAATCATATATATATATAAAAAATCAGTTTATGATGTTGCAAATTTTAGACAATTACTAAAGAACTTAAAAGTTTTCTACTCAACTCACTGTTTATATACCTAGTACTGTAATAAATATTGTTAGAAGGAAATATATACAGATTTCAACAGAAAGACTATTTTTTTTCAAAAACTTTATTAGAAAATAAAATGTATGTCTATAGAGAGTAAAACAAAAAAGAAATTATTCAAAATGTCTCCCTTTTGCCCTGGCACAGGCATTTAATCTCCGTGGCCAGTCATCAATAGCAACACGCAGCACTTCTTGAGAAAAGCGCTCAACTGCTCAGACCAGAGATTGTTTGAGGCTTTCCAAGTTAAGATGTGTTCTCTGGCATGCCATCCTCTCCAGTTAGGATCCAAGCCAATAATCTAGTGGGTTGAGATCAGGGCTTCCTATGGGCAAATCCGAGGCCGATATGAATTCAGGAATGTTCTTTAACAGACACTGCTGAGTTGACCTGGCTTTGTGAGCTGGAGCGGAATTCTGCTGGAAAACCCAGTGACCTCGAACAAATAGAGTATTATTTAGAGGCTTCACAACAGGTTCCAAAATATCGTCCTGATAGTTTTTAGCGGCTGTCCATCAAAGTAAATTCTCCACTTTGCATCTATCCACTCTAATTTCTTTAGAGAAGTGGTTAGACTTTGTCCTGTCATTCTTCGAAATTAACCCATCCTATGGTCACTTCTTATCATGTGAGACATTGATCTTACAGGGATTCTCATTTCCCGAAACATGATTTGTTGTTTTTGAATGGGATTTCTTCTGATTCTAGCAATCACTGTCATTCAAAATTACTGATCATCTATTTTTTTTTTTTTTTAAATTCCGCTTTGTTTTTCATAATAGCTCATATTTTAAATTATTTATTTATTTGTTTTCATTTTTGTTTGTGATATTTTGTTACTTATTTTCAAATATTAAAACTTTTTTTTCTACTTTTCCCTTTCGCTTAAATTTGTCCAATCCAATTTAGCCAATTTAAGTCAGATCCAATTTTTTATTTATTATTTTCAATGTAGGGCATTCTTACATAATGTGTTATTTTAACATTACAACTCTCACAGGCTAGAGATTCAACTATGCTTAGCAATTAGGCAAGTGAGAACTATTTCTTCTTTCTGGAAAGTCGGTAAGAATTTTCCATTTGCTACCAATGGCTATTTAGTTCCTATGATTTTGATATTTTTTGTTCCCATTTTTCCGTCATATTTTCTCATAGCTATTCTTCTACAAATCATTAATTGTTCCTACTGGAATTGTAACTTTCCGGTGATCCCGCAATGTAAACACGCATAGACATTATTTTTTTACCCTTCTCTCTTAATAACCATAAATACTTTTTTATTACTGTTTACCTGTGTAGCTTTTGGGATGGTGTTTTGAATAGCTAGTAATGTTCTCCTCTAGTCGGTTACCACTGCTTAATCGGTTATTTCTATTTATATTAGAGCTTCATATATTGCTAACACATGTCAAGTAAGTACCTCCAGAAGGTTAAAGAACTTTTAAAGTGTCAGTATATAAATCATTCTATTCTTCGTGTTTCTATCTTCTGTGTTTTAAAACTAGCAATCGAGTTGTCGTTAGCTGGTGGGACAAGAATGCTACCGGGTATATATTACTTTTTAAATTACTAACTTCTTTATCAAATTATTATTTACATTGATATTATATATTTCAATTGCTATGTTCAAAATATAGTGATATATAGAAATATGTGTTTGCACATTACAATGAGTACGTAATTCCCGACCCACTAACTTTATCGAGTATTAATAGAATTTAACTTTCACTTTTGAAAACTACTTAAGAAACGAAGAAGATGGTTTCATAACAAACGTAATTGATTTTTTCATCTTTGTTCTATTTCTTGATTCATAGTTCATTCAACCGTCAATCAAAGGGGAAGGAAAAGCAGCTTCTTCGCCTTGAGCTTATCTTGTTACGCTTCACGGAATGGATGTGTTAAGGCTCCATCGCTTTCCTGTCCACCTCTTTTGTCATTAACTCCTTCCATCACCATAATAACTTCAGATTCGGTTTCTATGCCCATAGCTCTGCACAATAGTTCAGAAAGTCATTTATCAACGCTTCTTATAATGGGAATTACCAAAAGCTAACATTTTCCAGTATTTTAATTTGTTTCTATGCTACTGTAGAGAAATAAATAATATCAGCCTCCATAAACCCAGGATTTTCTCACCAATCGAATGCTTAACTGAAATGTATGATTCGCTAATTATAAGAGATTTTGGTAAAGCATTTCCATTGCATTGGTGGTAATTATATATATATATATATATATATATATATATATATATATATACACACACACAAAGGTGTAGGGCAACTAAACTGTTCCATTCACTGTTATCAACAGTGAACACGGCTATTCTCTAACTAGGTATAGCCTATTAATCTTTGTGAACCATTCCCCAAGCTATTACCTAACCCGAAACGTACTTAAAAGATGAGAAAAAAATCCATTAAAGAGAATTATTATGTATGATTGAAAGTCTGAGTTTAAAGATGAACAATGATAAAGAGGAACAAGTTTTTTTATGGAGCTGAAATTTTATCAATTATTACTGGTGAAAATCAACTTTTCGGTAGGTAGGCTGATTTTGTTGCACTTACATTAATTTTTCCATAAGATTCTGAATAGCAATAGATGCGATCTTTCGTGAAAACGACGAATTGCAGTTTCCTTGTTGAAGCAAGAGTGCTGAGGAATATTAGAGGAATGAATGAATACTCCATCATTCAGATGAAAGGAAATGGTAATGGTAGACTCAAGATAAACACAGAAAAACCTTTAATAAGATGGGACATCTTTTTTTTATTTATTTTTTTTGGGGGGGGAGGGATAGTCCTTTAACGTTATTCTTAAGGGACAAAATCATGGAATAACATCTAAAAATTAGTTCGTTTTAAACGACTTTTCTATGCTGTGGTCGGATCATAGTATACAGGAATTTTAATTTTACATAGAAATGGAAAATTATAATTAAGAAGGATTTTTGCATCGAACCAAACAGATTAACAACAACATCAAAATGCAAATGAATAACGTAATGAGTAACGATCTTGTTTATTAAGGGAGGTAGGGTAGAACATAGTGAAACGTAGTCGTAGTAAAGATTTGGCGGAAAAGTGGTAAAAACAAAGCAAGCCGTTGAAGGCCCAAACTGCGGTTGGAGATGTCTTGCATATATAAGATTGGAGCGGAGGTAAGTGGCGGAAAGTGTTTGATAATGACAACTATTTCTTGGAAGAACCCGTGCGTTTTAGAACTGGAGTAAAATATTAAGAAAAAGCCACAAAAGAAAAAGTTAGGTCTGAGCTTCTGTAACCAACTTCACCTCTTCCGCGTTATAAATCGATGAAGCTATTACAGAAGAACGATCTTCGCAATTTAATATCTATTTGTGGTTTCCCTCCCTTACTTATGAGACAATATTATTATTTTTTTTCATCAACTTACAACTAGTGAATTTTTATTTTTAAAAAAACTTTTATTACCTTAGAAAAATGCAATATAAAATGCGAAATGAATTTTCCCACGTTTTTAACGATTAAAGAGATCGATCAAACCATAAATGTTTTTCAAAAAACCTCTAATTGTGGATATTAAACATTATCCAAGTGACAGTAGGTGAAGTCGAAACATCACACTATGAAAAAAAAAACATTATTTTCTCAACTTGTAGTATGTAGTGTTGAGAGTAGAGTGTAGGATGAGGATTAAATATGACCTTTTTACTACACGGGCTACATTTTAAGAGACGAATGGACAATTGGGAGTAATGTTCTATTTGTAGTTATGGTGTGTCTTAGTCTAGTAATGGGGCTCACTATAAAATTTTATTTATTCATACTTATCTTAACCCCATAGGTATCGAGAGCCGGATGTAGGACGAGGATTAAAAATGGCCTTTTTACTAAACAGGATGCATTTTAAGAGATGAAAGAGAAATTGGGAGTACTGTTTTATTTGTAGTTATGTTGTGTCTTAGTCTAGTGACGGTGCTCCCTATAAAATTTTATTTATTCGTACTTCTCTGAACGCCATTGGATGTGGTGTCGAGAACAAGATGTAGGACGAGGATTAAATATGGCTTTTTTACTACATAGGGTGTATTTTAAGAGATGGGTGGGAAATTAGGGGTACTGTAGTTATGGTGTGTCTAGTAAAGGCTCACTAGTGTTCTATAAATGACAATTCATTAACTCAGTCTACTAAAAGGTTTTTAATGTAAGTTTGCCATCTCAGACGTTTGTGGGTAGGTGGAGTATGTGTTTTAAAATGTGGTTTTGTCGTGCATTCAAGGTTATCAAAGAATTTAATATGCCTGCGTGTAATAAGTCGCCTACCATCGGCAATTCTAGGGGGGTATATGGTTAGTATGTACGTGTTTTTTGTAAAGTCGTGTGTCTCTCTATTTTTCTCAACACACCGTACTGAAACTGACCTGGAGCTTCTATATTGTCGGTGATATGTTAGTTAGGAGTGGTGCTCCATAAAAGAGGGCCGGTCTTAAAATACATTTGTAAATCGTTAATTTGAGGCGAAGGGACATCGATAGAGCAATGGCTAGTGTATTGTTCTCAAAATGAAAAGGAAACTCCATAACCTTTTAATTAGACGATTTAAATACATTTAACTTGAAGGAGACTTTCATATAAAATAAAATTTGCGAAAACATAATACTTTTGCACTTGTGCTACTACTACAAGCTACTGTACATAATGCAATTTGAGGGCCCCTCAGAAAATCTGAGATAATTTATTATTTATTTCCATTATTGCTGCACAAGAAGAAAAACTTTTTTTGTAGGCTAGAGTTGTTTTTTTTTTCGGTCCTGGTTGGTTAATATGAACAGATTTTTATAACAGTGGTGTATGTGTTGGAAAATATAAACGGCTGCGAAATTTTAATAAAATTTTTATTAATTAAGAGGAGATGGACTACTAAAGAATCGCTTACAGAAATTGGTCAATCAATATCTCATGATATGAAGGCAAGGTAGTTAAAATGGCAGAGCATCTAGGTGTAGTCCATTTGAAAACCTCTAAACAACAAGGTTAGAGACTACGAGGAGATCAAAATCCTGTTGGATAGATCGAATCAACAAAGAATCTGCAGAGATTTTGAGAAGTCTAATAAAGCCTGG